GCAGTGAAGCAAAATGGAAAGGGTTCAGTTTTTCCAATTCAGCTCATTCTGAAACCCATTTTAATGCTACCTCGGCTAACTAAAGATCTTTTAGGACCACTGTTGTCAAAATATGACTGTTATTCGACCTGCAGTGAATTAGTTTCAGCCAGGACTTTTTTTTAATGGTAATAAAAACCGACATTAACTGGTTCCACCGACACACTTGCTTCATTTATACCAGCAGCTGATCCCACCCCTTAGCGCAAGACTGAAATATCTTTTGTAAATACTGACTGAGCACCACCTTGATGTTAACAATGTAAGTATTAAATGGCTCAGCGATTAAATATATGTCGTATTATTCCTGTGGAAGATAAATCAAATGACTTTAATGTTGTCCTCAATTTTCAGTTGGTATGCCAAGGTTTTCAGCTATCCGGTAAAATTCCACAACATGTACCAAATGACGTTTACATGATGACAGATTAGAAAGAAAAGATACTCGAGAGGCAGCTTGTCATGTACTTTCACCGTGTGCCAGATGAACCTGCGCGCAGAGAAGCTCCCGACTAGCAACGCAGTCGGGAGCACAAACTGAAGGGTTTAGTCCTTGATTTGATTCAGATATTTATGCTTTCATTATTCCCCAATTGTACATGTAACATTATCATTAGGTAACTTAATTTTTAGCTTAAGAACTAATACTAAAATCGAACAACATTCCCAACATCCTCAACTGTACTCTAAATCCTTTTCGTTCAGAGCGGAGGACAGTCTCATTCTGACATGCTGCCCCTGGTGTATCTTTTCTCTCTAACCAACTGTTGTCGATTGACAATAATTTCATCATTTAGAGTGACATGTAAGGTTGTACGAGCATTAGCTGAGATTGAATTTTTTTTTCTTCTTCCTAAAATCAAGGGCGGAATCCGAAGGGAAGAAATCTTGATGACTATTCAAAGTTAACTCAATGTAATTATGTATAAGCGAGAGAGGCCATCACTCAGCTCAGTTTGACCTTGTTTAAGGCTGTTATTTAGAAATGCCTCTGCCTGTTGTTTGGAGACCAGAAGCGATAATGGACTGCTGTGGCCTTGGGAGCACACTGAGCTTCTTTTGCATTAAGTTATAATGTGAACAAAATCAGACTACAACAGAGTCCTGTTTTCTAGTGGATGCTAAAGTGCTACTAAAACATGATATTTAATTTGCCATAACACGATTAAATCAATAGACTTACTGTCACGGACCCGGCTCTGGGGACTCGGGGTCCGTGGGCAGTGGGGACTAGGATTGTTATTATTGTTATTATTGTTGTTATTATTATTATTATTATTATTATTATTATTAATTATTATTATTATTATTATTATTTGGTGTGTTGTCTGCACTGCCCCTGTGCACATCTGTATGTGTATGTGGCTGTGTTGCCTTTCTTCCGTGGCCAAGTTACAGGCACCTTCAGCCCTGGGGGCGTGGCCTGACTTGAGGCCTGGCCACACCCGAAGTCCTTGCCGCACACCTGCTCCTCATCTGGGCTCGTCGGTGGAGCTATTTAGAAGAGTGATGGAGCTTCCACCGACGCTGGATTCTTGCGTTTGACTACACGTCAGTCTTCAAGCATAGTCAAGTGTTAGTGTGTGCCTGCATGGATACAGTGTGTAACGGCTGCCTCTATTGTTTTCCCCTCAGGAGGAGTGTGGGACGAGAAGGAGCAGTGAGCACGGGGAGTGCAGGGACACTGGGGCAGAGAGCACTACACGGGGACTTTTAGGAAGAAGACACTACACGGGAGTCTGGGAAACTGGGGATTTATTGTTGTTTAATTCAATTCAATTCAATTCAATTTTATTTATATAGCGCCAAATCACAACAAATGTCGCCTCAAGGTTTACTTCACCACCTTGTAAATAAACACTGTTGCACTGAAGAGTCCGGCGTTTGGGTCCTATTTCCCCATCTCCCCACAGTCTGCCAGCCAGACCGTGACACTTACTTTTGCTGCATTATAATAACACTGTTCTATTTGTCACATTCTTCCATCATCTTGATTTTACACTTTATAATGTAACTCATTCCACATGTTGTTTTAAAATCTAGATTAATTAAGAACATAATTGTTGATGCTTCAGGCATTTCTGTCTTAAATTGTTATTTCCCCTTGTCTCTGAAATCCCAAATCAATATCTGTTCCTAATTTGACTCTCAGCCTGAGACCTATATAGATTGATATGTGTGCGCACATGCACACACACAGAAGCTAGTCTGCACAGCTCCCTGTGATTCAATTGCTGGTGCTTATCTGAGGTGCCTGCAGCAGGCAAGACAATCAGCTTTGCTAACAAATGTCAAAGAAACACAGCATTGATCACATAATTGAGTAATTATGTGATCAATGGCTAATTAACCCAATTAATGCATTTGGAAATGCATGAAGGAGGCTGGGTGTGGTATCCCGCAGTGCATAACTATGCTCATGCTTCACACACCCATAGGGTAGTCACTAAAATAAACTTCTGAATGGCTCAATAGAAACTTCTGTTGAAATCATTGCTGCACTGACGCACGATGTCTCCTCACTCTCGTGTTTCTCTTTCTCTCTATTGCTTTTTGACTCATACACTCACAGACATCGCTCCCACCACTACACTGGTTATTAAAAATAACACGAATGTCAAGAGATTCACACTAGAGAGTGAACCTGCCGTTGCCAGTCCTTCAGGGGCCTTGGCATTTCGCAGCTACCTTGATGGCAGCCTGACACGACAAGGACGTGTCACCCCGGAGCTCTCAAGAGCTATATTTGTGCTCGCTCATCCTCAGCTCACGTTCTCATTAGATAAAATGATTTATTAGCAGCGCCCTCCGTGGCAGCGGACTCAGCTATTCTTGTTGGCAGAGTTACACTATATTTACCTTCAGTAGTACACCACAGCTTGCACGCAAGTCTCCGTTACATGAGGCAACACCTGAGGAGTCGAGGGGAATTTTGGTCAGGTATATTTTCCTCTCTCACTTCACTCCTTCTATCACAGCATACATTATTCCCACACTTTCTTTTTCACCTTCTCCATCTAACTTTCTTCACCCTCCTCCTGATACTTGTCTTGCCGCCGGCATACTTGCTCACTGTCTTTTTCGCACTGCTCTGTAAGTGTTGTTTTCTCTCCCCACACGTACACACACATGCTTTTTGCGCACTTCCCATTATACATCTTCTTACCCCTCCCTGTTTCTGCAGCTGAATCTTTCTCTCAGTGCCACTACTCGCCCACAGGCAAAGTCATCCCAGGTTGCTACTTACTACCTCAGAGTCATTTTCCAAATTCGGCCACTAATTGGGTTTCTCCTATGATTAAGTCAATAACAACCTTCATATTAGAGTTTAATGTCCCTTAACGAGTCCATTTGTTGGCCACCGGCTAATTAGGTCTGAGCTGTTTATAGATAGCCTATACTAATTGATGAGCATTACTGAAACACTGTGTGTCAATCACTAATGCATTTGAGCACATTTTTTGCTTTTAGCTTGCAGCTCTCTCGGGCAAAGCCCCCCAAAACAGATTATGCCGTTCTGGTTCATGGATCAGGCTGTATAATTTGTGAGACAGCTCAGCATTAACATTAATGATATCTCCAGGGGAGCGGAATAAAAATCCATTTAACATTGACTGACAAATCTTCTTCCTCGTCAACAAGCATTTAGTTTATTAGTGTTGATTGTAGTCTGGATTTCTGCTGAGGAGACTTGTGTCTGTCTTTGTTAACTGCGGGGATCTTTAAAATATTCATGCCTGCCAACAGTAAACTTTTCAATTGTGACTCCTCATGTACACCCACGAAGCACCAGGACTTGAAATGAAATGCAAAGGGCCTGAAAGGCAGCAATAGGGGGACACGAGGACAACAGGACCCTGCAGAAGCTATCACGCTGGAATCTTTGACAAAGTTTCAACAGATCCGACTGACATGCCAGGACCCTTCCCACGGGTTCGAGTCTGCATGAAGCTCTGGCTTGATAAGGCAGTGTTTGGATGAATACAGAGTGAGCTGGAGGAGTCTGATTTTGGGCCTCATCCAAATCTTATGCCTCCAGGTTCGCCTGCTATCGAAATAAAGGGTTCGTTTGAAGCGAGGTTGCCTGTGTGCACACAGCTGCAGTTCTATGATAAAAAGAGGTTTGATAGGTGAAGCCTCCTGTCCTTCTATTCCTCTCCCTGTCTCTTTCTAATTGAATCCAACTTACACTGGCATGCAAACACCGAAATATAGCACTAGGATTACTTTCCTTCTTACTTTCTTCCCTGTCTCTCTGTATATAGCCTACGCTTTGTGCCTGGATGCTCTGGTGCTCTGTGTGGATTGTTAAATTTTACATTTCTGCTTGTGTGGAAGTTGCTAGAGCTGAGATGGAACACCAGAAATGCAGGAGAGAACTAATCTCCTTCTGTGTGCATTTCTCGGTTTTTGTGCCAACACCACAAATTCATCCATACTTTGATTTTCTACAAGTGTTTTCCCTATTTTAACTTTCATCAGGGCTAACCATCTGTTATAAGATTGCTCCAAATAGCTCCCCCTCCTCCGTGCCATCTGCTACCATATGTATTTTTTTTTTTTTTAGGGTTTCAGAATATATTCATTCCTACTGAAATCAGGTAGCTATATATTTGCCTGATAGCTGGTGTACAGCTGGTGTTGTTACCTTTTACTTTAACAAAGACCAATATGGTCATTTTATCCTCAGGTCCTTCTCACTTAAGAATTGTTTTTAACCTTTTTTTTATTCTTTAATATTATTTTTTTTTAATTTGCCTTCAGTTACTTCTTTCACTCACTTTTTCTGAACAGATTGAAAGTTAGTTAAGTCTGTTATTGCTGGAGTTACGGTCCCGCTTTTGCGCATACGGCACCGTTAGGGAACCAGTGTCCCGGACTAGCCGGCCTCTGCTCTCCCGGCTCTCTGACTCCGACTCCGCCTCTCTCTGAGCACCAACACACGAACGACCGCCACCTCCAGCTTTCATGCCTCCCCGACCCCTCCTCCCCAAACTGGACTCCATAGTTTACGGCCGTCCCAACGAAAGCACTTCTTCTTCGCCGAATGCGCTCTTAGATTTCCGGAAGACATCAAAGAGCCAGACTTTAAGAGCATAAACAGACAAGAGTAGCGAAGCAAAAGGAGAAGTTTTTTTTCTCCCTTTTCTTGCCCTCAGTTGTTGCCCTGCAGCGGGGCAGGACAGCCGGAGTAGGCCGGGGGGTGCACAAAAAGGCGTCCGTATGATGTGGATCTGGTACCTTCTGCTTGGTTCGGGGTCAGGCTCAAGAAGTGTTGGTAAGTTTTTCAAAGCCAGGGTGAAACTAACGTAGTTATCACGGCGCGGACACGCTTCGGTGCGGGTTCAGAGGAAGAGGGGGCGCTGATAGAAATTCTTAAGGACGGGCTGTGTGGTGCACTACTTTCTCCCTCGAGTTTCCTCAAAGTTAGCGAAACGACGTCTTTGAAAAGAACTTATAAGACATTTCTTTTCCCTCGACTGAACTGGACTTTGTGTGTGCGTACGCGCCTGTAAATCTGGATTATTGAGTTTTTCGTGCATGTCGAGTGTCTCGCATTCGCTACATGTCCCCTTCACCTCTAAGACAAAGTATTTCTTTTGCTAGAGACTTCCTCCGTGGCGTGTCCGTTCACCGGGTTGTTTTGAGATGACGCTGTGGTCTCCCCCTGCTACGTTATAACTGAGAGGTTGTTGACAGGGCGCCGTTGACAAGTCAAGCTGTTCTCCAGCCTCGCCGTGGAAGCTGCACGGGGCCCGGAGAATGACGTCTCGTAGTTTATGGGACACTTGTGACAGCCACTTGTTTCTTTTACTCGGTTTAAACATGATGCAGATTTGAGCTAATGTTCACATTAGTGACGTATAATTTCCCCGGTGGTTATTACAGGATGCTCAAATGCTTCAGTGAGGACCTTCAGTGAATAAATATATGACCCAGAAATAAACAGTATCAGTCACAGATAATTGGATTTGCTTTTATTGCTTTTTAATGACGAAAAAATGCGTGGCTTTTATGGAGTGTAACAGTGACAGCGTTGCTGATGTTTCCAGCAGTGTGGGTTTTAGGTGGATGTTCACGGTCTCTCAGCTACAGGTGCATTAAATGGGCGTGGCTGGAAAATTTAAAAAGAGCCAAGATGCTTGTGGTGGTGATGATGATGCTTGTTTTGTCCCAGCAGAAGACACGCACACACACACAAAATGTGAATAAATGTGGATTGTGGCTGGTGGGGTGTTGGGTATTTAATCAAAAGAAGAAGGTGGGTGAGGTGGCTGTGTTTGTTTTGGCTCATACTCTATTTAGTCCATTGTGTGCCCCACTCTTGGCTCCTTTCCTGTAGCCTACGCTGTTACCTGCAAGTGGAGTTTAACTGTGAAAGCTAAGTTAGCAGGATTTGATGAGGGTTACAGGCCAGTTACAGCTCTGTGTACTTGTAGTTGCCCTCCTCCCACAAAATTTCATTAACATAATTATAAACAGTATAATTTTGCAATTAGTTCAGAGTAATTAAAGATGACACTTGTAACTCTTTCACAGGACGGTTGTTCTTGCATTCCTATTGGCTGAATTCACTTTCGCGGCTTCATTATAATTGGCCCGGTGCTGTGGGTTGTCACGCTGTCATGACTTCCTGGGACTCTTGAAAATAATGGAGTCGTCATTAATGTGATTAGCAACACCCGTGGCTCGCTTGACACGAAAAACTGAAATGTCTGCAGTGAAGAAGAAAAATGTTTTTGCTCGTGTCACTGAAACAGAAGTGCAAATAACATTATATTAGCTTCAGACAGAGATTTAGTGTGAGCTGCCCACTCTGGTTTTCTCTGCAGGAGCAAAGGAGGATGTGTCTGTGATTAATGTAAGAAATTTTCTTTCGAAATATTACGGTAGTTTGTTTTCTTTTGTATGGCTCACGTCTGCTCAGCTTTGAATAGATAAACGGTGCTTCAGTGTTTTATTAGCTCATAGCCTGACCAGGGTAATAATGTCAGCTTGATATGAGTTAGACTGTGTTTATGTGACTGAGTTGTATTGTTGTCCAAACCAGCATAAAGGCTAAAACACAGCATAGGATTTAACAATCAGTATGTAGGATACTAGGACGTTAGATAGTGGTTAGTGCTGTGCTATACTGGAAATGTTGGTCAAGTCCAAAGTAAATACAAGGTTGTGTCATAACCAACTTCTAGTAGTAGTCTTTCTCTCCTCTCTCAATAAACATTAATAATATATTTGTGTGAATGCCTCAAAGCATTGATGTATGCTATATCTTTTGGTCCTCGTAACCTTTATACTTTTTCAGATATTAAGCTTTTTATGCCATTTTTTTTTTTTTTTTTTTTTTTTTTTAACCCCATTTTGCTGAATGGGACAACATTATCAGTGTGATCACCAGTTTTGCTTGCTTTTAGCCATGTTTTAGCTCAGTGAGATGAGCAGCCGTTCTCAGAGCAGGAGGGCCGGGTTCGAATCCCGCTTACAACAACATTTTTTTCAGTTAACAGTTCAACTGTTTTAAGTATTTTCAACACAAATTTTTAGCTTTTTCACCCCTTTTCAGCAAAATTTCCAGTCGCTTCTGCTCTTTTCAGTAGAATTTTCAACTTTTTTACCTCTTTTTTTTTTTT